AATCGGTCCACTACCACTATGATAATAATCCTTTCCTTTGGAGGAAGACTTTCAATGAAATCCATCGAGATACCTGCCCAAGCTTTAGTCATATAGACAGTGGATGCGTTCTCATTGTTGTTCATTTATTATATCTCAAATTCCTTCACCTAATCTTGGAGCTCCTTCTTCATACCACTAAAAAAACAACAAATCCATAGTTTTTTGGGAGAATGACTGTTCAGCACACCCTAAGAATTCTTAGCCCCACCGTACAGTTGGGGTAGGTGTCAGCTCGAAATTGATGCCAATACACGGGTGGGTATTAGTGTTTAAGGGTAGGGGTGTTTGTCATTTTGAATTATATAAGATTGTAGTGGAATTCAGAATTCTGCAGTTGGCTGCAATATACTTTTTTATAATATTTTTATTGTGTTTTGTGGCACCCTAAATGGCCTCCAAAAGGGGAGTTGTGGAATTCATTAAACATTTACTGCCTGTACCAAGACTGAGAGATAAGAACCAGTCAACCATTGTGCCACAGAACCCCTCCCTTATACTCATACTTGGAGATGTTATAGTGTTTTGAGAACAACTTCTTAATACAAGCTTGTAGTTTTGCATCCCTTACCATTTATTCCTTGATCTGATCAATCCAAAATGGTATAGGGGTTGAGATGACTGAGTATAATGGTGAAGTACTGCCCCTAGAAAGGGCATCAAATGCACTATTCTTCCTTCCATGCTTATATTAATTTCATATCATAATTAAAACCTATCAACTTGGTAAGAGCCACTATAAGTTGGGGTAGTCAACTTCAATAGAAAGAGAGGGGTTTCTTCCCTTCAAGATGTTATTCCTGTATCACAAGCATCAATTTAAATTGTAAATTCATCATCAAAGTTTGGTAAAACTAACACTAGTGCTTCTAATAGAGTTGTCTTTAGTTGTTGAAAAGCCTGTTCAGGCGACTCTATCCATCCCTATTTTCCTTTCCTTAGGAGGTCAGTTAAGGACCTAGCTATAGTGTCATATCCCCTTTGAAGTTTCTGCCCCAAGAACCCATGTTCTCCTCTATCGAGACAGGCCAATTCATCAATGCTAGAGACCTTTGAAGGATCTACCTGCACTCCACTAGTAGAAATAATGTGTCTAAGGTAATCAAGAGAAGGAACTCTGGATCTGCTACACACTTGGACAATTTAGTAAATAGTTGATTGCTTTGAAGGATTTTGAGAGTTTTTCTGGAGATGGACTAGGTGTTCTTTAAAACTTATACTATAGAATAAGATGTTGTCTAAGAATACAAGGATGATTTTTTTGCAAGAATTCTGGGAAAATCCGATACATTGACACTACATCACTAAAGCATTAATCAGCCCAAAAGGTTGTTAAACAGTGTATGCCCTCATCGTCAATATAGGCTGTAATTGACTATTGTTATGAATAAAAGTTCAATTTACATCATGTATCATGTGATATATTTCTACAAATTATCCTTGCACTACATTCTAGGATTATGTTTTGAGACACCATAGTTGGTACGTAGTCTAAATGTTCTCAACCAATGGATAGACTCAAGTGGTCTATCCTGACAAGGGTGACAACCTCATACTGCCTAATTTATAGAGTAGTAGGTCTCAACTTCTAGGATTGTGATCCAAGGAGTGAGAATGGGTATTTATTTAAAACATTGCACCGGACCAGTTTCAAATTGTTCTTGGACTTTGGTGATGGGTGAAACAGTTAAAATGTTGCATGTGATCCCTAACTTGATAATGGTACTCTGTCGGGTATCAAGCAAAGTTGTTTTTAATATGCCAATCGATGAGATCCTTTTAGGATCAACACCCAAGTATGTTAGAGCAGATGTGTGAATTTTTTAATCAAATGATCGTTGTGATAGAATCAACCATTTTATTAAACAAAGAGAATATTTATTAACATACTCTTTCCAATGGATGTCTAAAGCTATCAACAATTGATTTTAGATGGTCTTGGAATTGGTTTTGCAAAAGTATGGCATTGGGCTGTGTCAAGGGAACAAGTCCTTCCTTGATTCCTAGTGTTAGATATTAATGGTTGAGAGATCATGATGCAAATATCTAGTTAAACCCAACACCTTGATAGACACAACCTAGATTTCAGATTTGGACCATTAGACTTGGGCTCATAGGGTGGTTCAGACTTAAGTAGTTAGTAATAGGCATTAATGGGCTGAAGTGTTTAGGCCCATTTAACTATGGGCAATTCACTCTTTATTTAGAGCGAATCCAGCGATGGTGGTCCCACCGCTCTTCAAGAGAGAGGTAGACTATTAGTAGGTCGATCATATATGGCTAATACTTACAAGCATGCCATGCATACACTCTTACATTAGTTTATATAAACATATATAATTGTGTTTGTGTATTCCGGGTCATACCCCACTTTAAACAGAGTCAAGATTTGGATCAAAGATATTGATGCTATTACAAAGGGGCCATTAACTGTTGATCATAATTCATGGGCTCTTTCATTTGTTAAACATCACTTCCATGAGTATCAGAACAAAAAAGGCCCAAATGGATCTCATGAGATTACCTGGTCAACCATCCCTTTAAACTGAACATTGATGATGCTATGGCTTTGGCTTCAACAAAAACAAAAGTGTTGATGATGCTAATAGAAATGCCAAGTTTGGCAAGAGAGCGAGCCACTCGGTTGAAGGACCTCGAGAAGTCTCCTACATACATGAGTTCGGATCTCTTGTCCACACAAACTCTGCCCACATCTACCCACATAACATTACAGCCACACATGGAGAATATCTCATCCTCCTACATAGCATTATGTAAGGGGAGATGTTTCTAATTCACGGGGGTAGTATGTTTTGGGTAGACGTGGGCAAAATTATCGTGGGCAGGAAATCCGGAGTCCACATATACATATAACTTCCAAGGCATCTTAATCAAGAATGTTATGGAAAAAATTTAAAAGGCTTAATCCTTGAGGCATGAGGCATATGCCTTAGGAGAGGTGAGGCACACAAATTTTGTCTCAAGGCAAGGCGAGGCAAAGCATATGTTTTCTGGGTTTGCGACAAGGCGGGCTATGTCCTTTCCTGTATCTTTTTATCTCCCATTTCATAATGGTTAAGAAAATTTTAAAGTGAGGTGAGTGTCCCTCCACCTGAAGTAAATCTTAGGATTAAAAAAAAAAAAGAAAAGAAAAAAGATTGTGCCCTAGGATTGGGCTGGGCATTGAAGAAAACTTTCTGCTCAGGCCTAGAAATATCTAGGATGGGCCAGACAATGCAAGCCTGAGCAAGAATAATCAACCCCTTCTCCAATCTATAATCAATAACTAAAGTTGAAAGTTGTTATCTTGACTCTTGAGCATAAACTTTAAAGCAACTTGCTTTTTCTTTTTGAGATCAAATAGTTGTTACATGCAGGACAAAGCTAAATTGACGTGGTGTGAATCACCCATGAAATGGGCCCAATCTTATGTTGGAAAGCTCCCTAAACAAAGAATTTAGACAACCTAAAGATTAAAGAAGCCACAAAATTTTTAGTTGATAATAAAAAAAGAAAAAGTAAAGAATACGAAGGATGATCTGCCAAGCTATTACTGCTAAAAGAGAGAACAATAACCACTTTTTTTTTGGTAGAATGACCAAACAAATAAGAAAAGGGGAAAAAAAAAAAGAAAATTGGTTGGTAAAGGAGAAAGTGCAATACTTGTTTAGGAAATCTGAAACACTTTCAGTCTGATAGATTCATGAAGCCATGAAGGAACGCAAGGTGTAAAATGGGTTTAACTCAGAAGAGTCTAAGGCTCAGTCGAAATGAGTGCAAATACAAATATGTAGAGTGTAAAATCTTATATTATGTATCATGGTTTTTAAAATTGGGCTGGATCGGACGGTCGGACCGGAAAAACGGGAACCGGTCGCATGACCGGTTCTATTTTCCCCCAAAACTGGATTTTCCCCAAAACCGTTGATTTTGGTCAGCAAACTGCTGAACCAGACAGTTAACTGTTCAAACGGTTTTGACCGTTTCTTATTTTTTTGAAAATTTTTTAATTTTTTATTTTTCTGTCAGAACGGGCCGAACATAAGGTTCAAATGATCAGACCATTCGACCCGATAACCAGACCCCTGACCAGTTTGGTCACCAGGTCGGTTTTAAAAACCATGTTATGTATTATTTTTATGTATTTGTACTGCATGCATTTGCACTCTTTCCAAACTCAGCCTAAGTTTCAAAAATGTACACATTAGGCTCAGTTTGGAAGGAGTACAAATACAAAAACTATGTATTTTGTATGTATTTGTATTTGTACTCCTTCCAAACTGAACCTTAGTAACTCCACTGTCTTTGCAAAGCCTCAATATATGAAAGGGAATCATCAGGTTGGTAGGTGTTTATTTTCAAAGCAAGAATGAAAACATTTTCAGTTGAAATATTGTACTCATATTTCCACCCCTTTGGCTTCGTTCGCTGTGAAAAGTAGGATCGAATAAAAGTTTTGGACCCGATTCAGTTTTGCATCCATTTGTTTGCAATTATGATTTGTATTTCTATCTGATACAAACTTACATCCCGATAGGATGCAAAATTTACACACTTTTCTCATATGAACTCATTGTCTGTGCAAATTTTGCATCACCTTTCTCCAACCTCGATTCTCTCTTACAAAGTGGGAACCACAACAATTTTCTTCCTATCTTATTATTCATCCTTTCTCATATATAAGGTAGGAACTACATCATTTCACTTTCTATTTTACTTGAAAAACAAACAAGCAAGGTTTAAACTGATACAAGGTTAGGCGGGTTCAACCCGAGCTTTATACAGGCTGGGCTTAGATTTTCGATCCTTTGGATTGGGCCCAAGTCCAAAAGGTTGAGCTTTTATATCTTTTGGGTCAGGCCCGAGTCTATCTATTAGATAGCCTGAACCTAGCCCAAGCCTTATCCCACCTTATCTTAACCTGAGTATGGTATGACTACATAAGTATTAATAAACACATATTTACATGCATATATGCAAGTATGCATACAATGCAGACATGCATTAATACATCATAAACTCCATGAGAGAGAGAGGGAGGGAGAGTTCATATTAAAACAACAGAAGCAAGAGTTGAAACACAAATGCATCCTTATTACAAATAGACTGCACCATTAAATACATCATGAACTCCATGGGAGCCATGATCGTTATTAGAATTATTAATTAGACTTCAGACCCGTCACTTTGTTGGCTTCACAATGAGGACTGGGCACTTTACATGATGAGCACAATAATCGCTAACACTCCCAAGAAATGCCCTGCAACAAAACAACCATCAGCTCCATGTATAATCTCTCTCTCTCTCTCACCCCACAAACAGAAGAGCTAAGAACATGCCCTCACCACTTTTATTATACTTGATAATAAGTAAGTCATGGCTCTTTTGCATGTAATGGTTCATCTTTTCTTTCTCCAATCTTATTCAACCTAAGAATTCTTCATATAGACGAGATGTGATTTTCATGGGTAGAGACAAAGGTTGCCTTATTAAGTAATTTATACATGAAACAGAATTTAGGGCCATGGGGTTGCCACGAGCCGAGCTCTTCACGAGTTATTTGAACTAAGTTCATGAAAAGTTCGACTCGGCTCGGTTTCAACTGAACTTCAAGCCAAGTTCGAACCTAATTTACAGGCTCGTTTATTAATTGAGCCGAACATACATACATATAATAATAATAATAATAATAATAATAATAATAATAATAATAATAATAATAATAATAATAATAATAATAATAATAATATAGATATAATAATTTTATTTTATATATATAATAATAACTAATTATTATAATTCTTATTTTTTAAAATATCAAATAAAAAATATTTTTATATATAATTTTTTTATAAAACATTTTTCTCAAGTTGAGCTCAAATCGAGCCAAGCCAAGCTCGAGCTTACGAGTTTTTGACTCGAGCCGAGTTCAAGCTCAAGGTTCTAGCTCGAACCGAGCTTGAGCCCCGTACTACCTTGGCGAGTTGAGCTCGAATAGCTAGCTATTCGGCTCGACTCGAATCCACCCAGACATGGCACAAACACCAAAGGTCACATTCTTCTTATCCTAACCATATCTGGAGGGGAAGTTATGTTCCCAACAAGTCAGAAAAGAGTTGATCATCACTTGTCTCTCAGAGATTAGGTATTCGACTTTGCTCCTCACAGAGCACTTCGCAGTCATGTATTGAGAACTTTTCATGAATGATAATATCAAGTATGAGAGATGTTATCAATGCATGGCTGTGATGTGCTGTAAAATTGGTGTGAGATGCAGAAATCCAATCTTGATCCTAATGCTTAATTGACTCATGAGTGAAGACTGTCTTAAATAGAAAATTTTGTGCAAATACACATGCAGCCCCAGCCTGCTTTTAGTTACTAGCGAAAAAACAAGTAAAGTAAAGCAAATCTACAAGAAGATTCAGCAATGAAAAGTTAGAAAAGCCTGAATCAATAAAAAAAGAGTTACAGCCTAAATAGGGGTGTAAATGGATCGAATCAGATAATGTCTGAATTCGAATTTGATTAAAAAATCCAATATTTAAATTCGATTCGATATCCTATGGATATTGAAAATTAATATTCAATTAAATATTTGAATATTTGATTTGATTCAAATTCAACCAATTAATTATTTTGGTAATTGATAAATATATAAAATAAATATTTTATTTATATAAAGTATATAAATATATAAATTATTTATATAATTTAATTATTATATATAAATAAAATAAATATTCAAATTTAATTATTAAATAATCGATCAAATTTGAATATTTATCGAATTGAATCAAGTGATATCTGAATTCAAATTCAATTAACTATTTGATATGAATAAGATATCTGAATTCGACACCCCTACCTAAAACAAGGAAAAGCGAGAGTTCAAATTATAAATTCCATTCAATTTATATGTCTATTTTGTTGAATATTGTCCTGAGGCTGTGCAAGTAGGTCATAAATTTCATTCAATTTACCTCTTGATTTTGCCAAGCCCACGGCTCCCTACAATTACATAATCAGCATGAATCTGCTCTGCAGCCTGACAAATCACATCCTTGGGGTCTCCGTCAAGAATTATCGTTTCAGCTTTTATCTGCACGGGATTTAGAACTCCAGTTGTGTCACAAGCCTCGTACATGATACATGCAAGAACGAGAACAAAATAGAGTACTAATTAAATTTCATTTGCATTGGTGTGAATGAATGAGTGTAAATTTTGATTTGCTTTTGCTTTGTATTTGATTTTGTATTGTTTATTTTGAAAAAGTAAAATGATGTGATCCCTCTTCATAAAATAGAATGGAGGTAGGACGAGGGTTTTAAGTTTGGGAGTGAAGTAAGAAGCAAGATGATTTAATCGCCCAATTAAATTAGAGAGAATTGAGGAAGGAAGGTGGTGCAAATTTTGTATCAGTCTTTGAGATGCAAAATGTACACTACTTGTGAGAGAAAATCAGACAAAAGTATAAATTTTGTATAAGGCAAAGCTGCAAATGATAGTACAGACAAATAGATGTAAAATTGAACCAGGTGCAAAATTTATATTGGGGTTTGAGCAAGAAATTAAATAAGGCTATTTTCCCAAATGCTGCATGCCCAAAAGTCATACTACACCTTTGGCAACTTTGAGAAATAAATGATTCATTCCTCCCAATAAATATAAAATAGCTCTTTATATATTATAAAACATATAATGCTTAAAATGTATATGATATAAATATTATTTATTATTCGAAATTAATATGATATACAATATTTGTATCAAATATAAAAAGATATTATACATCATATAATATATATTAGAGAAATATGTTTATAAATTATAATTATATATAAAAATATAGATATATAAAATATGTTATAATAGATAAATACAATATAACAATATGATACAATTCTATATTATATAAAACAAAATACCTTACAAATAATATCATGTAATATAATATAGAACTAAATGTAATACTATGGAATATGATAATATGATATACAAATGAAGAATTTTGAACATAGTAAATTATTATAATATTAACATAATATAAAAATAGTATAAAATATGTTTGTAATTATATATATAATTATATTATAGAATACGAATAGTTTTATAAAAGTTGATAATATGCAGTAACATAATCAGATAATATAAAATATATTATAAAGAATAGAACATAATAAAATGATATAATAATACTATATAATATTATATAACCATATTAATACTATACAATATAATATAACCTTATATTATATAAAAATTACAAAAAATGTATGATTTAAGTATAAATTTAGGTGCTATTTGGATAGACCTTTTGAAGGTATTTTCGTACTTTATAATATCATATAAAATATTTCTTGAACCAAGAGATAGAGAGAGGAGTTGGTGGTTTTGGAGCATACCATCCTTTCTTTGCATATTTGTAATGCACGAGCAAGTAGCGTTGCAGAGTTCTGTTCTTGGGCTTTCTTAACAGAGTCCAACACTGCAGAGGTTGCATAAACAGCTGCACAAGCACGTCGGATCAGACAGAATTATAGATGATGCATAAACAGTTAGCTATATATGCATACATACATACATATATATATATGTGTATGTGTATCTACATATATAGACATGTAGATGCAATTTTTTTTCTTGTTTTGCTATAGGGCTGTTCATGAGTCGGGTTGGGTTGGTTTACTGAGATTTTTTCAACCGACCCGACCTGGTCAGGTTACCTGAAATTGAAACCGAAACCAACCCTGTGTTAAGCAAAACCGACCTGGTCGGTTTGAGTCGGGTTGGGTCGGTTTGGGTCAGTTTCGGCTCTAAGTTCAACCATGGTAATAAATTGATAGATTGGAAAAAGAAAACTGAAATTTGATGTAAAAAATGACACCTAATTCTATTAGAGAAAGAAGACTGAAATTGGTAGGGGGCGGACCAAGTTAGAATAGAAGTTATCAAGAAAATAGAAAGTCAAACTATATTAGAGAAAGAAGACTGAAATTTGTATATTTTAAGAAATCTAAGTAAAAAATGACACCTAATTCTAATTGTAATTGGTTGCCTATTTGGTGTAAAAGACCATAAAAACTAGGATCCTTTGATTCTTTTCTTTTCTTGTCTGGTTGTTTTACGATACTTTCCATTAATGTCAATGAAGACTAGAAATTAAATTAGATTGTAACTAGGATAGAGACAACTTAGTTAAGTAGGAACTAAGTAGGTTGTAAATACTAACTAAGAACTAACTACTAACTACTAAGTCGGTTCGGTTTGAGTCAGTTTCGGTTTTCACATATGAAAACCAAAACCAACCCAAACTATCGGTTTAAGATTTTTTACAACCCAAAACCAATCGGTGCTGAAGAAAACCCAGCAAATTCGGATTGGGTCGGTTTGATCGGGTTGAGTCTTATATGGGGCTATACAATGGGGTAGCCCATCCTCCAACCCTAGTGCAGCCGGATTCTATCCCAAGCCTCCACTACAACGTAAAACCCTAATCCTATCAAGCTCTAATCAAATAGTTTCGGTTCGAGTTTGAATTTCAGGATAAGCTCGATAGTTATTCAAGCTTAAGCTTAGCTTAATTAATACATACATGTATTCATTTTTTAACTTTTGAGCCAAATTCAAACTTAATGAAATTAAAAAATATAGTTCAAATGGAACTCGAGTTCTTAATATTCTAATCAAATCGACTAAAGACATGCGAAAAAATATAGTTCAAGTGGAACACACAAAGTATTGTTCAATCCACTTTTAGAAACCCTAATTCGATTGTACAATTGGGAGTAGGTACCAACTTGGAATTGATGACAATTTACGGTGGATATAGGAGTTATAGGCGAAGGTATTATAATTTTGAATTATTATAGATCTGCACTTTAATTCAGAATTTTGAGATGGAGTGTAGTCTACTTATCCCAAAAAGAAAAATATCCCATACGCGTTGTGACGTGGCTATAGTAAATGGTGGACTCATTTGACTTTGATAACGGAGATAGGAGATATATACGATTTGGACGGTGCCAGATTGTTCGAAATTGATGTATGAATTTTGCTGATAATGACGGAACACGACAGCTGAAAAAACGCGCCAGAGTCCAAACAAATCCCGAGTCAACTCGGAAATCCCGTTCCACATTCAACGTGCCAAAGACGATTCGGGTCGGCTCATGAATGTGAAGGCAGAAGGCTAATAGCCTAATAGGCTATACTGCGGGTGCGGGGAATACAAAACAAACCTGGTCCAGAGGGGAAAATGTAGTGTTGGAAAGGCTGCTGGACGTGAAGCAGGTAAATCTTGCTGAGCTCCAGCGATTGATCAGGTGCAGCAACGGCGTACGTGAAGATGTTGTCGATGGCCCACCTCAGCGCGTAGAAGCTCCCTTCGCTCTCGTCGATCGCCACGATCACCTTCATCGTCTGCCGCTCGTGTTGTTGCTGCTGCTGCTCCTCCCTTGCAGCCTCCTCTCCTCCTATTCGCGTCTCACTCGTCGTCTCCATCTCCCACTCTCAGTCCAAGCTCTCTTACGACTTACAACCCAATCAGCCTTCTCGGGCTCTTATACAGTACTGAATCACCCTTTTGTCCCATATCTTTTCTCGTTTTTACCCAATTTGTCCCGTTAGATTCAACTTTTTAGAACTGTCAGTGTTTCGGATCTACCCGAGGCCGACATGACCGAACCGATTATATCGGTTTTCGTTCAGTGGTTTTCTTCCAATTAGTAATTGGTTCAAAAGCGGTTATTACCATTCTGAACCAATCATATAGTTAATAGGAAAAATCTATGATGCCATAAATACACGTATCGGAAAAGTTTTGATAAATTTTATAGATATTCTACAATATAATTTTGGTTAAATACACTTATTTTATTGATATATAAAGTCTGTTTGGTTTATAAATAGAATTGGAATCGAAATTTGCCGGAGTCGAATGTTTGATTCAAATGAAAATCCAAATTGACTATAATAGAATTCTCATTCCCAAGAGAGAGGGAGGGAATGATCATTCCCTTAAAATGGAGAAAAACCATTCCATGGAATGGAGATCGGATTCCAATTTCACCCAATAAATTGCTTGGAATTGAAATGTCGTTCCAATTCTGATTCCAGACTCTATTCCTACAAAGCAAACAGTCCCTAGTATTTTAATATTAGTTTGTTAAGGTTATATAATATAAAATCCGGTCTAATGGGTCAGACTTGATAATTATCCCGATTAATAATGGATTCAGTTCTGGGTTTATAAATAAAACCGATTAATAATCCCGACCCAAATCCAATACATTTACAGGCGGCTACTGCAGCTTTACTTTCTTTCCTTTCCAGAATCTATAAGCGCTGATCTTATCCGTCCGATTCATGAACTCATGGAGTCAAGTCAAACATGAAGACCATCCGATCTATAGACCTTTCGCTTTTGCGTGCACGGGTGGTAGTGGACAAAGAGAAGATGAGAGTGGCTTCTCCCACTAGTTAAAAATGAGTGCTCATCCTTTTCCAACTTTTAACGTCTACTTTTGCAAGCTGTTACTGGATGGACGAAAATACCCCTGGTTGAAAAATCAAGAGCTGTACTCAGTGTGGGGATAATATTCTCATTAAAAAGGGGTGTTTTTGGAAACCCACAATAAGATTCTTAGCTTTCCGTATCGTGTCATCTCAGCTGTAGCATCCAACCCTGTAAAAGCAGTAAAGGTCAGTGAAGGAGGATGACGTGTATATCACTAAACAATAGGGCTAAATGGGCTACGGTGGGGAAATGGGCGCCCATGCCCAAAAACCCTTATTGATATTGGGAAGGTGGGCACCCCTTGAAAAGGTGGGTTCAAGTAAAACAATGGGCTCTGATATGAAACGTGCCCATCTCTCTCTCTCTTGCTTTTTAAAGCTAAGTGGTTAGGTGGTACAAATACTCCTTGAATCTTATGAGGTGATCTGATCTCCCCTCTAAACACATTCAGCAAGTAATTAAGAGGTTAGTTGGACATAATTGCCCTACAACAATTTTGTTGTTGTAGTGGATTGGCAAAACAAATTCATGTAGTGGGTGCAGACGTTCATGGGTTAGGTAGGTTTAGACAAAATTTTAGGCCTACGGGCTTGGATTCGGGCTTTCTCAAATAAGCCTGGCCAATATTATTATATATAATAAAAATACTTATTTTATATATAATAAATATATATAATATATATTTTTTATTAAATTATTATTATTACTATTAGGAAATACAAATTAGTTTATTAATTTATTAAATTATTACTAAATTAATATAGTATTAGTTTATAAAATTACTTTGAAAATAAGATATTTCATGTATAGATTGGCTTTGGGCTCAGCTTGGGCCTGAAAATTGTCTATTGATAAAGAGGCAAAGCTCGGCCCAAACCCGGCCCACAGGTCTAAGCAAATCCCATATAATTGGTCAGTCTAAGCAGATCCCATTTGTTCATTAAAATCAAGGGGTTTTAACCGCTAGCTCCACGGCAAAATTTGAAATGCCAATGGTGCATAACCTGTTCATGGGATGGGTAGCCCAACGGCCCGGCCAGCCTGGGCCGTTATTTTTCGAGCTTGGACAACATTTCAGACCCGCGGGCTCGGGCTTTAAATACCAGGTCCGATCATTTTTTGGGCCAGGCTAGGGCTTTCTCAAATAAGCCCAACCCAGCCCGATAATTACATCTATACTACTTTAAAAGGCATGAATGGCCTCAAGAATATTTCTGGAATTTTCTAAGGACAAAATTTACCCCTCTATATTTAAATTCATTGATAAAAAATAAGGGCAAATAGGGTAATTGGTTCTTGATATTAAATGAGTTAAAAAGAGGTAATTTAAAAATATTCAATTCATTCAATTTTCTCTCATTAAATCCAACATTTAAGTTATTTACTTGCATTCATGTTCATTGAATTATATATTTAAGTCATTTTTGTGTATTCTCATCATTAAGTTCTATTAATTAAATCCTTACTTAATAAATTAATAAATTCAATAACATAAAAGCTTATACTTTTAAAATCTACCTAGCAAAAATAGTGTTTTCATCTAGGTGGTGGTAAGAAGTTAAATCATTTTGGGTCAAATGGGTTAATCCATGTTTCTACGACTAAGTAATAAAATTGAAAAATAGATAAAATGAAAAAAAATAGAAATTAAAAAATTTGGGAACATTTTTAACATACATATTAAACAATAATAAGTATGATAGACAAGAAATGTTTTTATTAATGATGGAATGTAAAATTTAAAACCAATTAAAAGTAAAAATATTTTCTCATTCTCTCTCATTAAATTCTATATTTAAGATATATTTTTCTCATCATTAAATTCTTGTAATTAAATCCACAATATTAATTTTAATARTATAAAAATAARTATTTTGAAAAGTAATTTGAAAACAAAACCATTTTCTTCCCTCTTGGTGGTAGACAATCAATTTGACCATTTGGGGTCAAATGGATTAATAAATAATGYCATAATTAAATAATAAAAAATTAAAATAAATAACTATCAAATGTAAGAAGTATTTTTATTAATGATAAAAATAGAATGTCAAATTTAAAATCTCCCTAGAAATTAAATGATGTCATAGTCAAATAATAAAAGTTTTAATAATATAAAATATAAAGAATCACAAAAATAAAAAAAAAATGATAGAGAAAATTTTGGGCACATATCTAATGTTATATATTTATAAATAATAAAATATAGAGTACATCTCTAATATTGTGCATTCATTATATTAAAAAAATAAGTTTTATATATAAGAAATAATTTTATCTATGATGGAAATGTAATACAAAATTTAATGTCAAGTTGTCAACCTAGAAATCAAAAATAATTTAACTTTAGACGGTGTGGTTTGAGTCAAATGATATACCATAGACAAACAAAAATTAAGTGTGAAAAGTAAAAAAGATTTTATATAATGTAAAGAAATATATAATTTAAAGGGAAAACTATAGTCAAAGTCGGTTGTACATTTAAAATTAGGTTGTAGGTTAGTCTAGAAACCAACAAAACTTTGACAACCAACTCTATATTTCAAATTATAAAAACCTCAGCCATGTCACTGGAGGCTTACGTGGCCGTTGCCAACATGGGACTTATAGTCCATGTTGGATACAACAAAAAACCTATACTGAAAATAGGTTTTCAGTTTCTCTCCCCCTCTCTTTGTCTCTCCCACTCTCAGCTTCGGTCTGTAGCCAAATCAAAACCTCTCTCTCTCTCTCTCTCTCTCTCTCAATTATTCTCCCTCAATTTTTCTCATTCTTCTCCCTCACTCTCCCTCTTGGTCAATATCTCCTTCTTCCTCAATCTCTATCGTTCTCCAGTTGGTGTGAATTTCATAGTCAAGAGTTTCTTGTGAATTTTTATCAAATTGGTGTAATAATTTTTGAACCATAACAAGTTGGTCTCATCTTCTTTTATACGATCTGATTAATACCATATATGTGTGTAAGAAAATAAAACAAATGAGAGAGGGAACGGGAGAGAAACTAAAGGAAAACGATAGAAATTAAGGGAGAATGAGAGATCGATCAAGAAAGATAATGAGAGAGATTGAGGGAGAACGATAGGTAGAGAGAGAATGAGAGAAATTGATATAGAGAACGTAAATATAGAAACCAAAAACCATTTTTATTTATTTTCAAATCACATAGTCATTAAGCAGATAAAGATGATTGTGAGTGAGATGGTGTGAGGGAGATTATGAGAGAGAAGAGAGAGAGAGAGAGAGAGAGACTAAAAACCCTTTTTTTATTTTTCAAAAACCCAATATTAAAGGGCAATTTCAGTATAAGCTTTTTGTTGTATCCAACATGGATTAAGAGTCTCATATTGGCAACAACCACATAAGCCTTTGATGACATGGTGGGCATTTTTATAATTTGAAATATAGAGCCGGTTGTTAGAGTTATGTTGGTTTTATGGACCAACTTGTAGCCTAATTTTAAATGTACAGCCGGCTCTAACTATAATTACCCAAATTTAAAACTAACCCAAAAGCAATGCTATTTTCTTATCTAGATGGTGGGTCAATGATCCAACGCTTCCAAGAAACCCATGATGCTATAATTGAATAACAAACATTTAAGTTTATTTTTAATCATAGTGTTACTTTTGTTAATTTTCAATTTCTATCTTAACCATGATATATCTAAAACTCAAGTAATTAATATGAAGAAAATTTTCTCACATGCAACGCATGTGCTTAATTACTAGTATAATAAAAAAGTACTTATGTTATATACAATAAATATATATATATATAATATATATTTGTTTCTTAAATTATTAATAAATATTAATTTACTATTAGGAAATACAAATTATTTTATTGATTTATTAAATTATTACTAAATTAATATAATATTAGTTTATAAAAGTACAATAAAAATAAGACATTCTATGTACAAATCAGGCTCAGGCTCAGGCTCGGGCTTCGGGCTTTATATAATGGTCTGTTTGGTTGCCAAGAAATAGTGGGATGAGAAAGGAAATTTTTATTTCCTCTTTTTTGGTC